TAATGTATATTCTTTGCTGTATGTATATTTTACAAAAATACTTTCTTAAAGAAGAGATTTATTAGTGAAAAGCTGAAATCAAAGTTTTTTAAACACATAAGAGCTTAAAAGGAGTTTGTACTTCTTCAGTGCGATAACTGTATTGTGGTTATATAGAATGTCCTTGTTCTTAGGAGATTTTTGCTAAAGTATTTACAGTTGATGTGACAACATGTCTGCAAGTCTCAAATAGCTCAGAAAAAAGATAAATGTGGTAAAATGTTAACAATTTATGAATCTTTGTGTTAATTAACAACACTTGCAATTTTTCTTTAGGCTTGAAGTTTTTCAAAATGAAAAGACAAGCACAGGACCTTGTCTTCCTTCCCTAAACAGTAGTTATATTACAGGAAGCATCAATACACAGAGAAGCCATGGAGAAAAAGGGATGGTGTAGGGGATAGCAATCTACCCGTGCTGCACTCCCCACCACTTAAAAGAAACTGCTCTCCCAACATCATTAAAGATCTCCTTGCCACTACCCAAGAGACGCTTTTCAGGTTTTATTTGACTGCTCCTCCCTCTTGTCTATTCTCAAGTCTCTCCTTCCATAACCTACCTCTTAATGCAAATGTGTCCCCAAGGTTCTATACTTGGCCCTCTTCTCTTCTGGGGTATCTAACCTATCCCCCATGAGTATATACTAACCTTTATACTAATGATTTCCAAATCTCTATCTTTAATACCACTCTCTCGGGGCGCCTGGGTGGCTCAGTCGGTTGAGCGCCTGACTTCAGCTCCGGTCATGATCTCAAGAACACTCCATGAGTTTGAGCCCCGCGTCGGGCTCTGTGCTGACAGCTCAGAGCCTGGAGCCTGCTTCAGATTCTGTGTCTCCCTCTCTCTCTGCCCCTCCCCTGCTCATGGTCTGTCTCTCTCTCTCAAAAATAAAAACATTAAAAAAAAAAAACAAAAAAAACCCCACTCTCTCCAGAAACACACTCTTATTATACTCAACTAAGCACACATGCCCAGACGAAACTCTAATCTGCACTTCACCCCAAACTTACTTTTCCTCCCATTTGTATTTCCTATCTCAGTAATTGGTCAAAAGCCTAAGCTTTGCTCAGGGCTTACATTTCCCTCAAACCAAGGGTTCTTTACATATTTTTTGTTCCCTCTGTGGTAGGCAGAAATTTGCCTCCTTCATGACCTTCATCCTCTGGTGGCAAGCCTATGAATACATTTGTTACCCAGCGAAAGAAACCCTGTGTATGCAATTAAGGTTACTAGTCAGTTGACAACAGAACTGGATATTCTGTGTGATACAAGGTAATCACACGAGCTCTTAAAAGGAGAGAATTTTCCCTGGCTGTAGACAAAAGTGATACAGTAGCAGAAGTCAGACAAATTTGAAGGACAGAAAAGATTTAATCTGTCATTGTTGGCTTGATGATGAATGGAACCATGCATCAAGGAAAGGGGTCCTCAGTCCTACAACTGGTATTTTCGACATGTCTGTAAAAGTCCAGTGCTCCAAATGGCTGAATAAACGGGTAATTCCTTCTAGGAATGGAAATGGGAGTCAGAAATGGGAAAAAACGAGAGATGGGAGTCTGGTCTCTCTGGATATGACCCCCAACTTGAATGGGAATGAGGATGTTCCTCTCCCCACCCACACCTACAGAAAAAAAGCTATACCCCTTAACCAGACTTTCAAAATCCTCCACAATCCGCTCCAAACCTACATATCTTGCCCAGAGCAACACCCCCCGCACCTTTTCACAGAAAAGACCATGCACATCGATGATCCTCACTTAGGGGCTGGAAACTCAAACACCTTAAAAGGAGACCTTGAGTCAAGAACAACGCACGCACCAGACCTCGGGAAGACCGGCCGTCAAGAAGCCTAATGATGAGAGAACTCCGGGTGAAGAAGAGAGGAAGGCTCGGGAGGAGAGGACGCCCGAACAATCGAGTCTTCGCCCCGTCAGAGGCCTCTCCGAGGCGACCCGGGGCACGCGCTCCGCCTCGCAGCAGTCCCCGAGGTCGCGGTCTCGCCCCCGCCCCGCCACTCAGCCCGCGCCAGCAGGAACAAGGCGGAGCACAGAAAGCCGGCATTGGGGAACAGACACCCTACCTACCTCTCAGCGATGTAAAGGGTGCCGGTGCCGAGGCCCTTGCCGTTCAGCACAGCCTCGGTCTCTGGCTGCTGCTGCCGGAGCCCCTCAGCCGAGCCGGGCGGCGGGAAACTTTTGAGGAAGCTCATTGCACCAGGGAGCGCGGAGACACAGGCCCTTAGCGAGCTGAAGCACCACCACTCCAGCAGCTCACCTCGCCTCGCCTCGCCTCGCCCCGCCCCGGAAGCGGTGGCGATCACCCCGGAAGAGCAACTTAGTCCGCACCGGAATTTGAGCCCCGTCCACCCGAGAGAGAGACGTTCTGGGGCAAGCTCTCGGAGGCCTGAGGGGACTGGGCGGCGTTGGTCACGTGACCCCAGGCCCCTCCCACTCGCCCTTCCTAAGGCTCCAGGCTGGAAATAAGGGAGCTCTCTCTCCGAAGTGCTAGTGCTGCGTTGTCACAGCAACCCTTTGAGAGTGGAAGCACGATGAATAATAAACTCCTTTTTCTACAGAAGAGGAAACCGAGGCCTGAGCCTTGGATGGGAATCAAAGACCACACTCTTCTAGAGGTTAGAGAGCTCGTAACTGGGTTCACGGCTCTTCTAGCTTGCGCGGGCCTCATCCCAACCTGTCCACATCTCAACATAACAGCCGCGCCCCCGACGTCACTCTGGGTCTTGAAGCTGCCCCTGTGCGGGAGCTGCGTGTCCCCCGCCCAGTCTCAGGCAGGCAAACGAGCCCAAATTGGTAATTAACTCTGGGCAAAGAGTTGGCTGTGTCAGAGAGGAGATGGGGCGCTAAGGGGAAAAGAATTAGTACTTCGGATTTGAAACTCTTGCTTTATTTCTTTGTTAGGCACTGAAGAACGAAGTAACAAGGACAATGAAAACTTTAATCAGAATAATAGCAAAAGGTAACTGAGTGTTAGGTGCCAGGCACTGTTCCAGGCACTTTCCCAGTATTATTTCATTTCCTCTTTATGCCAAGTATATGGGAAAGTGACTATCCAGTTTTACAAATAGGAGGCCTGAGGCATTAAACTGAAGAGCAAGACTTTAGCCGTGAGAGACCTAGTGGAATTCAAAGAAGTCAGTCTCTAGGCCAAACTTTTCTTGCCTGTAAAATCAGTATGATCATACCTGTGCTGTAGCACTGTTGAGGCTGGATGGGCAGACATGTGGAGTAGCTGTATTTCTATCTGTTGACTAGAGGAGTGTTCGATTTTTTTAAACTGGGATTCGTTTGTTGGTAGCAAGACTAGAGGAGGGACACTCTGAGCAGGGAGAGTATTAGGAAGTTGTTTCTATAGTATAGGTGAGAGAGTAGCAGTAAGAATGGAAATGGAATAGAGTCTAGAGCTATTACAAAGGTGAAGTCCTCAGAATCTGGAGGGAGACTGAGGGAAAGAAGGTGGCGAAAATGAAGAAGAGGATGGATGAAGAAAAGAAGCCAAGGATGATTTCCAGGCTAAGTGATTGGATGCTGGTTCATTTCTCCAAGATGGAGAATCCAGGAGGAAAAGTAAGCTTTGAGAGTAGCTAACAATCTAATACAGGAAATGGAGAATTTCACGGTTCCTGGGACAGCTGCACGCGGTTGGCTATATAGTAAAACAGTCAGTGCTTTGCTCAGAAACAGAATTCCCCAAATCATGCAGAGAGAAAATTGGCTAAAACCTGTATAATAATTTCATATCAACTTGACAAAGTTTTTATAGTGTCGTTAAAAAGCAATTGTCTCTGGGCACCTGGGTGGCTCAGTTGGTTAAGTGACTGACTGGTTCAGATCATGATCGCACAGTTCGTAAGTTGGAGCCTGGCGTCTGGCTCTGTGTGGACAGCTCAGAGCCTGGAGCCTATCTTCAGCTTCTGTGTCTCCCTCTCTTTCTGCCCCTTCCCCCCTGGCACTCTGTTTCTCTCTCTCTCAAAAATAAGTAAATATTTTTTTAAAAATACTAAAAAAAAGGGATTGTCTCACAGCAAAACATTTTATTCAAGTTAATGACTGAAGAAAAGGGATCTTAGCTATGACAAGGAACTCTTCACCTGTTACAGTGACAGTCTCCGAGGAAGTATCCAAGCATATGTACATCAAAGGGAAGCATATCACCAAGAATTTAAAGAAGGGCAGGATTTGTTCCTTTACTTCCTATATAAATCCCTATAAGTAATAAAAGTAGACACTTAAGTCTCACATATGTATACTGTTTTACTTGTCAGAAGAATGCTCTCACCCATTCTCTCTTTTGGTCTTTATAATAATTCTGTGATGTATGCAAGGTGGCTGCTATTATGCCCACTGTATAGATGAGAAAACTGAAGATCAGAGCAATTAAGTGATTTGCTGTGGTCTACATTACTAGTATGCAGCTAGAAATTAAATTCCTGCCTTTTAATGTCAATCTTAATGTCTTCACTACAAATCATCACCTTTTAGAACTAGTTGGCAAAGAGGTATAAAGATGTTCCTGCCTTTTGGCGATAGTAAGAATTAAGCTTCCTATAAATCCATTCTTACTAGGATCATACCCTTGATATGTACTCTTAAGACTCTTGGGGTGCCTTTGTGGCTCAGTTGGTTGACCGTTGTACTCTTGATCTCAGCTTGGGTCATGATCCCAAGGTCGTGGGATTGAGTCCTGTGTTGGGCTCTGTCCTGACTGTGAAGCTTGCTTAAGATTCTCTCTCCCTCTCCCTTTGCCCCTCTCCCCTGCTTACATACACACACTCCCTTTCTATGGAAAAAAAGAGGCAGGGGGTGTGTGGCTCTTGAATAAGTGATAGAGTTGAAAGAAGGAAAACTACTAAAGTGTGTACCAGGACTGGCTATCTTCTGAGACCTCCAGCCTTCCATACCAGTATCTGACACATTGTGGCTCATGACTGGGACCTCAGAGGGAGCTATCAGCTGGAATACCTTTAAATAGCGTCTCCATGGGGCCTGAGCTTCCTCACAGCATGGTAGCTGGGATTTGAAGTGGAGAGTCCCAAAAAAGAGACTGATAGAAGCTGCATGCCTCTTCTAACCTAGCCTTGGAAGTTACAGAGAGTGACAACAGGTAGGGTCTGCTGGGTTTTTCTTTTTCTTTTTTCTTTCTTTTTTTTTTTTAATATTTATTTTTGAGAGAGAGAGAGAGAGAGAGAGAGAGAGAGAGAGAGAGAGAGAGAACACAAGCAGGCAAGGGACAGAGAAAGAGGAGGACAGAGGATCCGAAGCAGGCTCCATGCTGACAGCAGAGAGCCCAATGCGGGGCTCAAACTCACCAACTGTGAGATCATGACATGAGCTGAAGTTGGATGCTTAACTGACTGAGCCACCCAGGTGCCCCTCTTTTTCTTTATAAATGAACTTTGTAGTATGATCTGCCATGGAATACCTGCACCCTTGGCTGCCACCTTGACTACAGCTTTGGGAGAGACTTTGAGGCAGAAACACCCAGCTAAATGGTCCAGGTTCTTGACCCACAGAAACTGTGAGATAATATTTGTTATTTTAAGTCACTAAGTTTTAGCAATAACTGATAGATTAGCTAAAGAGAAGTGAGAAAGAACCTTGAATAGACTTTAGTCACTGTGCTTCTCCTTATACACTTGACTTGGCAAACTTACCCATGCCCATGGTTTGAACTACCCTGTGTAGGTAACTCCCCAATCTCTATCTCCATCCCAAAACTCTCTTCAACTGTAGACTTTTACATCCTGCAGCCTGCTAGACATCTCCATTTGGGGGTTCCACAGACCCTTCTCATTCAGCTTATCAAAAATTGAGCTTGTAAACTATGGACTTTGATTGACAATGATGTGTCTCAGTGTGAGTTCATTGGTTGCAACAAATGTACGTCTGTGGTGGGGAATGTTGATAATGAGGGAGGTGAGGCATGACTGGGGGAGTACTGGGAAATCTGTGTACCATCTGCTCAATTTTGTTGTGAACCTAAAATTGCTCTAAAGAACAGTATCAATAAAAATTTGAATTTACCATCTTCTCATTCAACTCTGCTGTTTCTCTAGCATCTTATTATATGGAAAAATACCACCTTACGTTTAGGTGCTCAAGTTAGAAACCTTGAATCTATCCGTATGACCTTATTCTCCCTCACTCTTCATATTCAGTAATAATAATTAATTATAATTTATAATTATTAATTATAATAGGAACAAAAACAGCAACTGACATTTATGGAGGGCTTACTGTATGATAGGTACTCACTGTTCCAAGCAATTTATGTGTATCAGTCTTCATAGCAGCCCTAGGAAATATATACTATCATGATTCCTGTTTTACAGATAAGAAAACAAGTCAGGGTGAAGGAACTTGCCCAAGTCTATACCTACTAAGTGGCAGAGCTTGATTTACAATCTACGCTGTTGGGCAGCAAAGCCTGCACACTTCATTTTACTGCCTCCAATCAACCAAGTTCTGTCACCTCTTAACTCCTGTCTCATGAATCTGACCCCTCATTTCTCCTCCACTATTGTGCATTCAGGTCCTCTCTGTGTTAAGCCACTATAAGAGCATCCAAACTGTTTGCTGAACCCAGAGGCCTCCTAGTCTTTGGGAAAGAGACATAAGAATTATATTCTCATGTGGTAGGTGCTGTATTGAAGTCTGCACCAAGTACCGTGGGATTGCCCTTCGTGAGAATCCAGAGAACTTCTAGGAGAACATGATGTTTGAGTTGCGTCTTGAGGATGAGGAGTTCAAAGATAAAGAAAAGCATACGTAGAGGTAATTCCATTTCATTGCACAAAGATAGGAAGGAGCATGTAGTGTTTGAGGAACTGCAAGAATTTGTGTGTGGCACATGATGGCATGGTGGGGCTGGAAAGTCGGCCAAGATGGGCTGGGAAGGGCCATGTATATAGCAAGCCCTTGGCATTGATGAATGACTTGCCACCAATTATCCCTCAAATCTGTAACAATTTGCTAAAACAACGGTGGGATGATGAATAAGCCTAGCTGACTGCCCTGCACGTGCACTCAACTTAGCTTTCTTGCCTCTTACCATGACTTAAGGCACCTTTCCACTCTCAGAAAATTATACTTCACTGTTTTGGGTTTCTTTTGGCAGGGGAAGGGGTGGTTGGAGGAGAGGGTACGATACACGCTATGGTGATATTCCTGAATTTAACAATTTGAGGGGCGCCTGGGTGGCTCAGTCGGTTAGGCGGCCGACTTCGGCTCAGGTTATGATCTCGCAGTCCGTGAGTTCGAGCCCCGCTTCAGGCTCTGTGCTAACAGCTTGGAGCCTGGAGCCTGTTTCAGATTCTGTGTCTCCCTCTCCCTGACCCTCCCCCGTTCATGCTCTGTCTCTGTCTCAAAAATAAATAAACGTTAAAAAAATTTTTTTAATAAAAAAAATAAAAAAAAAGAATTTGAGAAGGTCTCTGTTAACATACATGAACAATGCCACATGTGAGCAAAAGTTATCTTTTACAAGGTAATGGGTGAGGAATATAAATAAACAGAAAGATAAGTAAAATTAAATAGATGAAGAAAAAACATGAATCAGGAAAAAAAACTACAGAGAAAGTAAAAATCATAAAGTGAGAAAACAAATTAGAGTAGTGATTTTGTATTCTGTGCTAGCCCAGGTACTTACATTTGTTGTGACACCTATCATGGGCTTTTAACCTTAAAAGGAATTGCTCCAGGGGCACCTGGGTGGCTCAGTCAGCTAAGCGTCTAACTTCGGCTCAGGTCATGATCTCTCAGTTCATGAGTTCAAGACCTGCATTGGGCTCTGTGATGATAGCTCAGAGCCTGGAGCCTGCTTCACATTCTGTGTGTCTTTCTCTTTCTGCCCCTCCCCGCCTCACACTCTGTCTCTAGCTCTCTCAAAAAGTAAATAAACAAACAGGGGTACCTGGGTGGCTCAGTCAGTTGAGCAACTGACTTCGGCTCAGGTCATGATCTCATGGTTTGTGAGTTTGAGTCCTGTGTCGGGCTCATATATATATATATATTTCAGGATGATACAGGGGCAAGAGTCTGACAGCTCTGAGCAAGAGCTCACAGCTCAGAGCCTGGAGCCTGCTCCCGATTCTCTGTCTCCCTCTCTCTCTGCCCCTCCCCCGCTCATGCTCTGTCTCTCTCTCTCTGTCAAAAATAAACATTTTTTAAAAAGTTTTTTTTTTAAAGTAAACATTATTAATAATAATAAAATAAAATGAAATAATTGCTTCTGGGGCACCCAGGTGGCTCAGTCAGTTAAGCGTCTGACTTCGGCTCAGGTCATAATCTCATGGCTCGTGAGCTCAAGTCCTGCATCGGGCTGTATGCTGACACAGCTGAGAGCCTGGAGCCTGCTTCGGATTCTGTCTCTCTCTCTCTCTCTCTCTCTCTCTGCCTCTCCCCCACTCTGTCTCTCTCAAAACAAAAAAAAAAAAAAACAAAAAATAGGAATTGCTCCTATCCCATTGATTTTTCGAACATATGGTTTAAGAAGTTAATCCACTTAATAATGCTTCACAACTCCTATTGCTTACATACCAAGGTGCCAGGCAACATAGTCTCCCACCGTGTACAGGGTTTTCAGAAGAAGGTTAACATTAAGGTTGTAAGGTTCATTTCAGTTTCCTTCTTTGTCCTTCACTTGCAGGGCAAGGATTATCAGGGAAGATGGGAAATCTTGGAACAGGCCCAGGAAGTGAGTTCAGGCAGTGATGCCCTTTTTTAAACAAACCACTAAGGTCCCTCTTTTAAATGTATAGCTAGTAGAAATCACACAGGGCATCACTTCACATCAGCAGACATTGTTTCGGATGTCAGAATGAGTCTGAATGAAAAAGTGACCTAAACTAAAGAGAGCAGCTCATGTTACAACATTCGTGGCAGAGATCTGCTGACCAGAGGTAGCAATTTAAGAAACAATGAGTTTCAAACTAACCTATTAGGGTCTAGGGCCGGTGAGGCGGGGTCCTCAGCTGCCATTGCCTTTCTCTACTGAAAACCTTCCATGTCCCCTCAGGGCTGCTGCTGACCAAGGAGCAGAGTGTGCTCTTTATTGTTAAAGCTTCCCGCATGCCTGGGTCATCTGGCTTTTAGAGATAATGGGGTGTTTTATTTGGTTCTATAAACTGACTAATTTATTATGAAGGACCTTTATTCAGAAAGATCTTAATTTTTTTTAATCTGCAAATAAAAAATACCGAAGAGAAATGCACTAACATTTTGGGTGGTTATTTCTGAGTGGTGGCGATGTGACTATTTAATTTTTCTTACTCTTCTCTGTCTACTATAAGCATATATAAATTATCAATAAAGGAAAAAACTTTATTTAAAAAGGCTAATAATGGGAGAAACTCTAGGACTTAAGAGAATTGGCCTTCTCTGTTGTTAATGGTTTTCAGACAGAAACCTGAAATGGCTCGTTGGGATGACTAGTAACTTCTTACCCAAGAAACAGTGAGGCCGAGTGCTTTCTTATAAACATGCAAGCTTAGTGGGGTTATTATCTATGCCTTTGCATTAAAAGAAGTGTAATAGAATAATCTTAGAAAAATACTTAATCTGTGAGCCTTGGTTTTCTCATCTGTAAAATGGTAACAATACCGCTTCTACCTGTGATTAGGTGAATAAGTGAGATTTATTTTTATTTAAAAAAAATTTTTTTAATGTTCTTTTAAATTTATTTTTGAGAGAGAGACGGACAGAGTGCGAGTGGGGGAAAAGCAGAGAGAGAGGGAGACACAGAATCAGAAGCAGGCTCCAGACTCTGAGCTGTCAGCACAGAGCCCGATGCGGGGCTCGAACCCACGAACTGTGAGATCATGACCTGAGCCAAAGTCGATGCTCAACGGACTGAGCCACCCAGGTGCCCCAGAGAAGTGAGATTTATTTTTAAATGAATTAAATATATAAGGCATTTTGCTAGGCATTGAGGATTGAGAGCAGATAGCCCTTGCCTATTTTAAGTTCAAACAGTAGATGGAAAAACAATTACTATTGTTTAATAGTAATTAAACTATTACTTTTTAATAAAAAGAGAGACAGAGCATGAACAGGGGAGGGGCAGAGAGAGAGGGAGACACAGAATCCCAAGCAGGCTCCAGGCTCCAAGCCATCAGCACAGAGCCCAACGTGGGGCTTGAACCCACGAACCACAAGATCATACATAACCTGAGTTGGATGCTTAACCGACTGAGCCACCCATGCGCCCCTTCCTACAAAACTACAGTAATCCAGACTGTGTGGTATTGGCATAAGGATAGCTGCATAGATCAGTGGAATAAAATTAAGAGTCCAGAAGTAAACCCATACATTTCTGGCCCACTGTGTTTTGACAAGGATGCCAAGGGAATCCAATGAGGGAAAGAACAGCTTTTTCAACAAATGGTGCTGGTACAACTAGATAGCCACAGGCGAAAGAATGAATTCAGATCTCTGACCCCTTATACAAAAACAATTCAGAATGGGCCAATCACCTAAACTTAAGAGCTAAACCTATAAAACATAAATTTTTGTGACATTGCATTAGGCAACAGTTTCTTAGGTATGACATCTAAAGCATGAGTAAACAAACAAACAAACAAAAACCCAAATTGGACATCACCAAAATTAACAACTTTTGTGTCAAAGGGCACCATCAAGAAAGTAAAAAGACAAGTTGAAGAACCGAAGAAAATATTTGCAAGTCATGTATTTGGTAAGGGTTGGTATATAGAAAGGACTCATAACTGAAGAACAAAAATATATATAACCCCATTTAAAAAATGGGCAAAGGATCTGAACAGATGTTTCTGAAAAGAAGTTAAACAATTGGCCAATAAGCACAGGAGAAGATGCTCAATATCACTAATCATCTAGGAAATGCAACTCAAAACCACAGTGAGAAACTACTTCATAGCCAGTAGGATGGCTATAATAATAATAATAATAAAAGACTGAATCATAAGTGTTCTCTGATGTGGAAAAACTGGAACCCTCCTGCATTGCCAGTGGGAAGGTAAAAAGATACAGATACCGTGTAAACAGTTCAGCAGTTCCTGAAAACGTGAAACAAGAGTTACCATATAATGTAGCAATTTAATTCCCAGATACGTAAGAGAACTGAAAACATTTCCACACAAAAACCTGTACTCCAATATTTGTTATTCATAATAGCCCCAGAGTGGAAACAATCCAAATATCCATCAACTGCTGAAGATAAACAAAATGGATGCATAAACAATGTAGTAGAATATTGTTCATCCATAAAAAGGAATGAAGTACTGATTCATACTAAAACATAGATGAAGTCAGGACGCCTGGGTAGCTCAGTCGGTTAAGTTTCCAACTTTAGATCTTGGCTCAGGTTCATGAGTTCAAGCCCTGTATCAGGCTCCGTGTGGTCAGCGCGGAGCCTGCTTGGGATTCTCTGTCTTCCTTTCTCTCTGCTTCCCCTCCCCCGCCCCCAACTCTCTCTCTCAAAATAAACTATGAAATAAAAAAATTAAAAAAAAAAAAACATGAAGTCATGAAAACATGCTAAATGAAAGAAGTCAGACAAAAAAGCTCACATATTATGATCCCATTTATATAAAATGTCCAGAATAGGCAAATCCTTACAGACAGTAGATTAGTGGTTGCCAGGGTCTGAGGGGAAGGGGAGAATGGTGAATAGTAATACTGAGCTAGTAATATATTGGGTTTCTTTTGGGGGTGGAGACAACCTTGTGAATATATTAAAGACCATTAAATTGTACATCTTGAAATGGTGAAATTTATGGCATGTGAATTATATCTCAATTAAAAAAACCAAGAAGAATGGTTTTTAAATGAAATTTACAAGAACTTTTGGAAGCCACTGCATAAGCACATCCAGATTATTAGAA